ACTTAAAACCTCGCTTAGGAATTTCGAACATGCCTCAGCTCAATTACTCTTCTTCGGATTCTCGGAAAGAGGAATGCGACGGGCTGGAAAAGTCAGTCTAGCCATTGCCATTTTCCACTTACAATTACAAACAGGTTGGGGGGTAGAAGAGAGTAAGTTTGTGCTCATTAATTGGGAAAGTGTAAATGTATCCTTGTAATGAAGACAGCTGCTCAGTTCAATATGTCTGCTGAGGAGGTGCCTGAGATTAAATAGCCTGGCAGTGGTAGCATTCTCGCCTCTGAGTCAGAAGGTTGGGGGTTCAAGACCCACGTCAGGACTTGGAATCACATAGTCTAATCTGAAACTCCAATGCAGAGTTGAGTTGTGTTGCATTGTCAGAGTTGCAGTCCTTCAGATGAAACGATAAACCAAAGTCTCATCTGCCTGTTCAGGTGGATGTTAAAGATCCCGCGGTACTATTTGAAAAGAGACAAGAGTTTCTCTCTCCCAATGTCCTGGCCAACAATCTTCCAAAATAAAATTAGGCACTCACTGCATGGCTGTTTGTGGGACATGTTTAACAGGAAAAGCGCTTTGAGACATCGCAATGATGCAATGAGGCGCTACATCAATTGCAAGGATTATTATTATTATTACTACTGGGGTGCACATTGTAACCACTAGGCTGAAAATAGTACTGACCACACCTACAGACCTGGTTTGGGCTCCTGCCTTTATTCTTGTATCTGTTCTCCCATCCCGAAAACTCTTGAGCTCCAAGGCAGACATAGGACTGTTTGTGTTTGAGTGACATGGCTGTAAATTGCAACTAGTGTTTAAAATAAAGGATTCTAGGAAGAAGAATGTACAAGACCGGAAAAGTTGTCTGGCTGATCCCATTTTCAAAATACCATTGCAAATAAGGGGAATAGAGATCAGGAGACACGTGATCCTAACATCTGACTATCTGTGTATCCGACTACAGCCTCAGCAAATACACAGGGGTTCTGCACCATTAAACATCTGAGGGGAGCAACGTTTTGAATTGACAGGAGGCCACCAAAAAAATCAGATGGTCATATAATTAATTACTCTTCAAAAATGTAATAATAATAACCACCTGTGGGGTGAGAGTCCCCTTACTTGTCCAAGTGGCTGGTTACAGGGCAGTATTGGTAAGGTCCTGGTAGAAGGTTGCCCATTCATGCCCATTGGGTGGTGACTGACTAAAGGATACTATTATCACATAATACAATAAGTACTTGCACTTTATCCTGAACTTTATTACATCAAAACAGCTCAAACTCTTTACTTAGTAAGCAACTTTGAAGTATAGAGACCATTATGTAGGCAAATACTGCAAAGTCTCACCAATAGCAAAATATCCGCATTTAATCTGGTGAATAGAAATGGGTGAATTGGTGAGTTTAGGTGAATTGAAATGGGAGGAATAATGGCCAAAATACATCTGCTTCTTGATACAGCGCCAGTGATCTTTAAAATCCACCTAGGAAGGATCTCAATTTAATATTTCACCTGAAGGACAACACCTGCAGCAATGTGGTGCTCTCCCAGGACTGCACTGGTCTGTCAGCACACATTATGATCTTTAATCCCAGTTTCAATCTTGAACGCAAACGCTTCTGGATGAGAGATGGGATTAGTACAAACTGAGCCTTAAAGGGCAAAGTTTCATCCCATTCTTAAGAGTGGGATTTAACACAACGTTCACCAGGATCTTTTTTAGCTGCTACGTTTCGCCTACAAAAAACAGTCACTCCACTTTACACGGAGTGTAAGCACTTTGAGACATTTCAATGATGTGATAAGGCGCTATATCAAATGCAAGGATGATTATTATTATCTGTGAGAAACGCATTATTTACTCTATGAACAGAAAGAGGAATGGGAGAAAATGTAGATACATTAAGATACATTCATCGAAAGCAACAAAACCACAGACATATAGTAAACTGTAAGCGAGGGCAACAGTGTGATTGACAGACTCAGCCTGTGGTCTCGTTCTGCAGTCCAGCTGCCCAGTCTCCTATTGCAACCTCTTGAAATCAAACGTCCATCATTTGTTCTTCACGATTTAGTGCCGAGATGCCCATCTGTGGAGGCCAGACTGCACCACAGTACAGTGCTCCAGCACAAAATCAGAGCTCAGCAGATGAGAGAAAATTAATAATAATAATCCTTGCACTTGAGATAGCTAACATAGTTAAGATGTCTCAATGCACTTCACAGAACATACTGTAAAGTGAATTGATTGTGTACTTGGAAGCGAAATGTGGTAGCCAATTGCGCACAGCAGTGTCCAACAGACCGTCGTGGATTGAGTGACCATATTTTTTAAGGGGGATTATTACTCCAAAATCAGCCAAAGCTCCCATTCTGATTGCTATTCAATAACTAACTGCAGAGAACTTGTGGTGAAACTTGGGTGAGGATAGAGTCGGATCTGGCTGTAATTTTCTTCTCTCCAGTCAAATAGCATGCCGACACTTCCCTTCCAGATTCCCACATACAGACCAGCTACTTGGGCAAAGAAGCTGGGTGCAGGTAACGCCCATGAATCTAGATGGGTGGCGGGGGAGAACGTTATTTCCCCCAGAAAAGTGATCCGCCAATTGACTAACACCTGCGTTCCTACTGACTGCGAGGTAAACTGAGACGTGTGGAGTGAGGAAACTTGCCCAACGTTTCGCCCTGCCCGGGAATCGAACCCAGGTCCTCTCGCTTGCGAGGCGAGTGCCTTAACCACTATGCTACAAGATCCAGGAGTGAGGAGGCAATTTCAGCAGCAAAAATCCCTGAGCCGACCACTTGTACAGAAAAGAGAAGTGAAAACATGCTTCGATCCAAAATGCATCTTAAATGTCAAAAAGGGCTGTGAATTCAAACCCCACATCGGGACTTTGAACTCACAGTCTATTGCAGCATTTGGGAGAAGCGCCATCCTTTAGATGAGATGTAAAACCAAGGTCCCATCTTCCTGTTCAGGTGGACGTTAAATATCCCATGGCACTATTCAAAAGGGAGAAGTGAGTTTCTCTCTCCCGGTGTCTTGGCCAACAATCCCTCAGATAAAATTAGTCATTCACTTCATGACTGTTTGTGGGACACTCCTGCCTGCGTGCAAATTGGCTGCCACATTTGTTTACAAGATTACCAGTTACTTCCCTTCATTGCTTAATCCTGTAAAGTGCTTTGAGATGTCTTGACGACATGATAAGGTACAATATCAAAGTCAAGGATTATTTTGTTCTCGAGCCAGGCTGCAGAAACACCCAGCCACTCCCTGCTAACAAGTGTGTCAGCCTGATACCACTACAATCCCTCCTAATGCTCTTGGACTCACCCCCTCTTCTGAACCACTCCTGAACAGATCCCTCTCAAAACAAATACTGTACGGTACCCACTCCCAACAAATCAGCTTTTATTTTCATGAAGTGCTCATTCCAAAAGATTTTACAGATAAAACAAAAAATTCAACGGAATGATTTAAGTCATTCGCACAGCAAAAGCAGCAAATTCACACTGAGACCTGTGTGTTTTGGGACCTGGGTTATGAACAAACTGAATATTTTCACAAGAGAGATAAGCAATGACTGTTTGAATGTGTTGTTGTTGCACAAAGCTCCCTCCCCAGCACACACACACACAGACAGACAGATATACACAGACAGACAGACAGATATACACACACACACACACACACACAGATATTTCCACACAGAGACAGATATACACACACACAGACAAATATACACACATACAGACAGACAGACAGACAGATATACACACAGATATACACACAGACAGATATATACACACACACAGAGACAAATATACACACACACACACAGACAAACAGATATACACACACAGACAGACAGATGCACACACACATACGCACAGACAGATATATACACACACACACACCACACACAGATCCTCACTCCCGGGTTAATTCATTCTCTGAGGACTTCACAATGTACCATTCTGGATGTTGATGGAGCAGAGAAATCAACCGATCAACCCCTTGTTATTCTGTTCCATCTTTTTTTTTAGAAAAAACTTTATTTTTAAAAGGCTATTTTTTCACTGCTCCCCCTTCCCACGCGCTTTGAATAGATGGAGAGAGAATTGAAACCTATTTACTCCAAACCCCCCCCTCCCCCCCCCCCCCCCATCCTTACATGATACATGAAATATTAAGGGCGAAATATGCTCACAGTGGCAGATGGGGACACGTCAGATCGATTTATTACTATCCAGTTCCCTCCCAAAAACACCAGCATACAATCCACCAGCCACTCCTTGCCAACCAGTATATCAGGCACTACAATCAAACCACATTTTTTTTTAAGATACTGTGTGTGTATTTTTTTAAAAAAAGACATCTTTTCAAACATTTAACCCTCATCCCCTGTGCGGAGGAGGAACACAGACTGCGATGAGGAGGAACACAAATGCATTATATTGGTGGTATACACATATATATTATATATATATATATATATATACTGCACATATAAACACACAGAGAAAGCTGCTGCTTTGACAAGGAGACTGAGATGAGATTCCTTGCTTCCACTTTCACACCCACAGCTGTGCATCTGAATTCACTGCTCAGTTACAATTATCAAATAATGTTAATATCAGAAATATAATATTGGCTTCGCTTCCCATCTGTTAAGAGCAGTTCCCGTGCTTTGAAGCACACAGTGGGGGGGGAAATTCTTCCTACGATGCATTGGGGATTATTTTCTCATGATCTCTTTTCTGTCGTTTTAACTGCTGGGTCTACCTGGATCTGTCCCACAAGATCATCCCCCGACATGAACGAACGCGCTGCAAAGGCAGGTTGGACCAGAGCTGGTTTCAGACTGAGCTCTTTTGAGTGTCTGTCAACCTGAAATCTGTCACAACATTCAGCATTGCTTTATGCATAAAGGGAGGAGGAGGGTGGGGTGGAGAGAGAGAGAGAATAAAAAAAATGTGATTCTTACCGAAATAGACAGTTTTGTCGCATTTGGGGCATTTTGATGCCATGTTGCGCCTCTCGATGGTGTGTGTTGCTGTCTATGTGTGTGTGTGTGTCTCTCTCTCTCTCTCTCTCTCTGGAAACTCAATGAGACTCATCGCTCCTCCTCAACCCCAGTCTCTGATCCTCAGCCCACCCCCTTTCCAACTTCATTGGCTTCAGTGCAGCCATCTCACCCTCCAGCTCCTGCAGGATTGTCTGCCTCTGCTTGTCACTCACACAAGCAGTGAGGTTGCATTGCTCTTCATATAAAGTGCTGGATAAAAATACAACTGGGGGCATGTCAGCTCCTCGGAGACACACAAGCCCCTCCAGTGTGTTGGTCACCATGGCAAAGATGCCTAAGTGGTTCTGTCATAAATCGACGGCAACGCGGTTTAGCACAGCGTCTTTCACGTTGAAAAAGAAACACCTCAAAGCCTCTCTCGGAATGAAATTGGAAATTAACTGAACCCGGCATAGATAATAATAATCCTTGCATTTGATATAGCTCCTTACCACGTCTTCGAGACGTCTCAATGTGTAAAATGGATTAACTGGGTATTTTGCGGGCGAGTTGCAGCAGCCAGTTTGCGGACAGCAATATAGACACAAACAGCCATGGAGTGAGAGATTCATTTTATTTTGGGGGGTTGTTGGCCAGGACGCAGAATAGCACCATGGAATCTTTCCCGTCCACCTGAACAGGCAGATGGGACCTTGGTTTAACTTCTCCTCTGAAGGACGGCACCTCCCAACAATACAGACACGTGCTTAACCCCATCACCGTGCTTAAGAATATCCAAACCAATGCATTTCAACTCTACATTGGAAATTCTCGAGTCTGGAATCTCTCCCCAGAGGGCCGCACCTACAGAATGTTTTAAAAGAAGCAGAGTTCCTTGTGTCCTGGACAACACTCCTCCCTTTAAACCAAGTCATATTAATTGGTCGTTCATCTCATTGATGTTTATGGCATGGGACCATGAGGGCACAGATTAGCTGCTGCATTTGCCTGCATAACAATCAATGTGAAATTGTGCTAAATCAAATGCAACTGTTAGCTATTAGTGCTTAACCTGTTAATTAACATGCAAGCAATTATTCTCCATTTCAAATAGCGAGAGGCACAGGCAATGCAGAGGTAAGTGTACTGGTCGATTTAGATTAAGAGCACAGGTTAAATACAAAATTAACAAGTCACAAGTGGGCAAATAGACTGAAAAATCCGCACCTTATACATTAAATACAAGATTAAATAAACTGGGCAGTGGTTGTTTGGAGAGACGAGCTTGCAGTAGAAGACAGTCTGTGTGTATTGTGCTTTCCTTGGTTATAAATATTATAGCCAACAATAAGAAAGCCATTAAAAAGAACCTCAGAAGGAATCATAAAAATTAATAATAATAATCCTTGCATTCGATATAACACCTTATCACATTGTTGAGATGTCTCAAAGCGCTTCACATAATATACTGTGAAGTGCAGTGACTATACATTTTGTGGGTGAATCGCGACAGCCAATTGCACCCAGCAGTGTCCAACAAACAGTCATGGATTGAGTGACCATTATAATAATATTATAATAAATTAAGCAATTTAACAGCCAGAACAGGAACAAGTGTATTGTTCTATTTGATGTCCATTTATTTTGCATGAAATAGTAGTAGCTCAAAGCACAAAGGCCAGACACTATTTATCCTCCAGATAAATTGCTCATCCATCTCCAGGGTGTTTGCAGGACATTACGACATTTGCCATTTCTATGTATTTTTAAGGAATAAAATTTCACTATTCTTCGGGATCCTAAAAAATTCTCTGATATTTAATAACAGTGAATTTCTGCTCCTGTGCAACAGAGCCAACATAACATTTGTGACTAAGGATTTCTCTTACAAATGGGACATATTAGACTCCACTTCAAACCTGCCTTTTCTAGGTGCACATTTAGTGCACATAAAAAAAGTACTGTTGATTCAATGGCTGGGTCCCTGAGTGAGAATTAAGAATTAAGAATTAGTTTATTTGCATACTGGAGTGCTCGCTTTGGATTAACTGCACAAAAAAAACATGAATCTGGTAATAAATAGCACTGGGTCAATGGCAAATGGACCATTCTTCTATAACATGCTGAAAGGTGCCAACATTATGCTAAAACAATGCAATCCCGCCCCGTTTCTAAACCCGTCTTAGACATTTTCAATTGACTTTCATTAATTACGGTGCACATACAAATAAAAGAACATACAAATTGTGAGATGAAAGAAGACTAAGGTCCATGCAATTTGCCTTCCATTATCCTGGCAGTCACATGCACATGTCATTGTATCTGAACCTGATCCTTTCAGTCTAAACGACTTAACAACAACAACAAACAACAAACTGCATTTAATTAACAACTTTCATGTCGGGAGGAAGTCCCAAGGCACTGGATAACGAGGTGTTTGTACCTAAGTTAAGGGTTGGGGTGGAGGAGAGAAGATTACCGAAGGCACAGTCGAAAAGGAAGGTCTTGAGATGGGCCTTGAAGGAGGCAAGAGAGGGGGCAACGTGAGGCGGAGGGGCTCTGGCATGTTGCCGGGATGGATTCCACTATACTTGCTGTACATTCGCCCCCAAATCATTCGAGGATGTATTTTAGGATATAACATTTTTCTCTTACAGTTTCGTACACATGAATCGATTTGTTAATAATAATCATATTATTGATATAGCGCTTTATCACGTCGCTGAGACATATCAAAGTGCTTCACAGAATATACTGTAAAGTGGATTGACTGTGTATTTTGTGGGCGAAAAGCGGCAGCCAATTGCGCATAGCAGTCTCCCACAAGCAGTCATGGATTGAGCAATTTTTTTTTGGAGGGATTATTATACTGTTCAGCAAGGGAGCAGAGGGGAAGGAGGGAAGGGAGTGGGGCAAATAAAAACACTCACTTCGGGCTTTGAATTCTAGTAAAACAAAAAGTTTGCAAAATGTATCGGACCCCGACTGAGATTACAGAACTCAAACTCATTGTGAACACACGTTTATTTTGATTTGCAAAGGAAAAAAAGCCAACAGAAAGACACTGGGCTTTTTGTTCTGCACATGTTCGCAGAACTGCTGAGAATTGTGACACCAGAACAGAGCCTCCACAGAGACTCTGGTGGGCAATGACATGGGACAGGGCTCTTCCTTTGTTCTCAAGGAAACAAAATGTCAGCGCTGTACCAATTCCTAAACAATACCGCATACTAGCAATTCCTAATCTCAATGCCAGGATACATAAAACACATCCTTTCAATGGTGCTTGCTCTGTCGTTCCCAAGGTTACATGTACACTGAATGGTTGTAAATCTTGAAGCATTGAATAGCAGTCAGCAAAATTTACAGAAAGGATTGACTTTTACGATAAAGAGAAGATTAACACAAAGCAAATTAAATGATTCCCCCAAGTGCAGGTTAAATTTTTGCCTTCGCTGCTTGCTCAAACGTCAATTTTTTTAATTTTTAAACTGCTCATTGTTCAACATGAAAGTAGCTATATATATTTATATATAATATATAATCTATTTAAATAAATGTATATATAAATAGCTATATTTCCTGGGAGGGGTAAAACCTGAGGCAAGTTTCCTTACACCACATGCCTCTGTTTACCTAGCAATCAGTAGGAGCCCAATTGTTAATCAATTGGCGGAAGGCTTTCTGGGGTAATAACCCTCCTAAAAAAATGTAGTCATTCATTCCATGATTGTTTGTGGGACACTGATGTGTGCAATTAGGTGCTAAGTTTCGCCCACAAAATACACAGTCAATCCACTTTACAGTATATTCTGTGAAACATTTTGAATCATCTCAACGATGTGATAAGGAGCTACATCAAATGCAACGATTATTATTATTATTATATAAATGTAATTTGTTGTTGATCCCCTCCCAAAGCCAACCAGGGAAATTTGTAATGTCTATGCTCTGTACAGTCTAACATTTCACATGCTACATAGGAGATTCGGAAGGATTCATCAAAACAAATTGGAACCAATGTCCAATTTGGAGACACAAGTTCATTAAAAACATTATTTTGCGATTCTAGTTATAAAGGTGGAATTTGGTTACATACAACCAATCAGAGGAAGAAATTGTCTGTAAACCATGTAAGGATAATTACTGTTTTCTTCAATTGCCAAATAGCAGTCAGCAAAATTTACAGAGTACGACACGCTTCTAGAACAAGGACAGATAAGCTGAAAACAAAATAAATTAGAGCAAATGTGGACTGAAATGTGGACTTTAAGTGCTCCGAGACCTTATCTTGCGTGAGGGGTGCTATATAAATGCAAGTTCTTGTTGTGGATTCCCGTAGCGTAGTGGTTAGCATGCTCACCTCACAAGGTGGGGCAAAACCTTAGGCAAATTTCCTTACTCCACCCACCTCTGTTTACCTAGCAGTAAGTAGGAACCCAGTTGTTTGTCGATTTGCGGATCGCTTTCTGGGGTTAATAATCCCTCCAAAAAAAATGTTTTGGCCTGGCTACGTGCAACTGGCTACCTACAAAATATACATTGATTCCACTTTAAGTATATTCCGTGAAGCGTGACGTTTCAACGATGTGATAAGGTGCTATATCAAATGCATGGATTATTATTATTGTTGTTGTTGGATTTCCAAAAAATTGAGTCCCTTGCTCTCCTTCTCTCTCACTCTCACCCTGGTCCAAAGAATCAAACGGCAAGCTCTTCCAAACAGCCCCGGACTACTCAAACCAGGAGTTTTTCTAAATACAGTAAATCAGTCTGGATGTTCACAGTAAATTCTGGTTATGCAATGTTCTGTGCACCAATAAGGAATGACAGTGCTGGACAAATGCCAAGGTCCTGACCCCAGGGCTCAGAAAACAGCTGGGTGCTTTATGGGTTGGATTGCAATTCTATTCTAAACAATCCTATTTTTACAAGAAAATTACCGCATTGAAGAAAAATCATCCCAGTGGATAAATTCAATAGCTGAATGTTTTATACCTCGATCTGACAGTATTTGTGTGACAGTAGCAGTGGAGCAGAAAACAGGGGAATATGGAGCAATGATCTCCTGTTCGTGGGAGCTTGGTCTTTCCTGGGCCTCACTTTGAGCATGAGGTTTCAGTTTTTTTTTGCCTGAATTTGGTCATTATTTGGGGCTTTCTGTGTTTTTTTCATCTCTTCTAGCCAGTGGCCA